CCATCTCTAGATTAATGTTTACTTGTTTAGGGAAAAAAAACGTCCTTTTAACATCTGCCGAATATGCCCAGATAATTTACGTGAATTTGAGCATTTTATAGCTCGATTCGAATTTCCGTAAATGGTATATTTTGAACTATGGGAGTTCTAGCAAAGTTTTAAGACATAAAAATTACGAACGCTCACAGGCGGAAATAAATTAGAACTAAAGATTCTTATAATTAAACGATAGGAAAATGTAGTGACCTAGTCAAAAAGAAGAAGAAAATTCGATAGTTTGAAGACACCAAAATTCAACACCTGCTGGTGTACTTGAGATTTATCACTTTTCTTGAAATTGTCTAAAAGAATATTCACAATAATTATTGTACTTCGTGTGTATCAAGACAACACTAGTTCCAAAAGAGCAGCTAAAAGTCTACATAAATAGAAATATAAACAAAGCAATAACTAGTGGACAGATCAGTTTGCAATTTCTCACCTTAAAGATTGCTGGATTGAGCTTTTTTTTGACATACTAAAAAATGCGATAAATGCGATTAATCATACCTTGCATTATTACTCTTATAAGTAAATAATGTGTTGTCCTATGATTTGTTGTGCCCATATAAATTATTGAATGTAAAACTGCTGTTAAAAGTAAATTGTATATCAGATGATTCGATGTTATAATATTATCCAACACTGTTACAAGCACGAAATCTTTAAACAATGTGTCTCATTTTTTGTTGTACCTACTTGAAATGTTTAAGTATACTATGGCAAATATTGTGAGAACCCAAAAACGGCGAAAACATGCAACAAAACAAATATTGTAATTACATATTCACAAAACTTAAAGTATTATCACCTTATGTAACAATGTAAAGGTTAACAATTCCAAATTAACAAAATAAATATTTGTTTTATGGTACCATAATTCTTCGAAATACTATTTGTACGAACACTTGGCATATAAATTAAAAATTAACATAAAACTACTGCTCATTAATTATAAGTATTTTATTTTATAGGGAAAAAATAAAAGTGCTATATTTCTTCGGGATTTCCTATTAAATAACAGAAATGTAATAATAGGCATTTTATTGCTATTTCCTCAATCAACGTTGGCCTATTTTTAACTAGGTTTAATCACAGACGCTTGTTAGGATCGCTACTCTAATTTGACAGAAACCTCTGATGTTGCACCCAGAGGTAGGGACCTTAAAGGAGCTCAAAATCTATTGAGTCGGGATCTACTTATTTGCATATCTTTTGAAAATGGCATATACAGGGTGTTTCTTAATTCATGCGACAAAATTCAGGAGGTGATTGCTCGTATGAAATTAAGATGGGTCTTTCCTATAACAAAATTTCCTCAGCCCACCCCTTTCCGAGATATCACCCTTAAAAGGTGGTGACTAAAATAGAGTTTTTATTTTTTTTTTCTAAAATTTCAGTAACGTACTTTGGCTACAGGTGGTCATTTCCAGCATTTATTATGAATCGTATTACATTTTACATCGTTACTGTTTTCCACTCAATCTATTAAAAAAATTATAAATTATGGTGTTTATTTTTTTCTCCGCAGCTATTTATTGGTTTTGGGAAAAAAATTTAGAAATAATTTTTTTTTAAAAAACAAAGATTTCAAGTTATAATTTTATTTAATAAAACTTCATCTCGAAAAAAAGTTTTGATATGAAATAAAGTAAGGGTTGCTAATTTCACCCCCCTATAATGTAACAGGAATATTGAAAAAATACCCGCGGTTAGTCCTATACGAATGCACGAAAATTACAAAATTTCAATTTTCTAGCTTAACTAACATTTTAGAAAAAAATAAAAACTCCATTTTAGTCACCACTTTTTAAGGGTGATATCTCGGAAAGAGGTGGGCGAGAAAATTTTGTTATAGGAAAGACTCATCTTAATTCATACGAGCAATCACCTCCTGAATTTTGTCGCATGAATTTAGAAACACCCTGTATAGTATATTACATTACGAGTGTTGAAAATCACTTTTCACACAATATTTGTCCTACGACCACAAAATAATTTCATCAAAAAATGTTAAACCAGGTTATTATTATAATAATTAAAATGTATTTAAAAAAAGAATCAACAATAATTGTATTTATTCAATTTTTATATTCTTTCGAAACAAAAATAAAAAAAAAACAAACAAAAAAAAACAAAAAAAAAAAACAAAAAAAAAAAAACAAAAAAAATCTGCAATGTGATATGTGTCACTTTCCTAAGTGGTCGTAGGAAAAATATTTATTTATTTACGGACAACCTCATTTCAATTACAAATTACAATTTTAAATATTAATTAAAAGATTACAAATTCTTATGGTGCTGTAACACAAACAAAGACATTATACATGTCATACAGACTAGGAACATTTAAAATAACAAAATAGGTCAATCGAAGTTAAAAAAAAAAGAAAATACAGAGTAAAACATTTGCATTAAAGCTCAGTATTAATTGAGTTTTGAATGATGAAAAGGGAATACTGAACAGCCCGAGATCATTGCGCAAGTTAGCTAATCTAAGCATTCTTGGAATGCAGCTGTAAAAAGCTTGGTTTGATCTATAAAAAAGTACATAAAATGTTTTCAGTTACTTAGTTGAACGAGTTTGAACAAAAAAGATTTATTATTTCAAGAAGTTCAGGACAGTTACATCAACTATAAGGTTTCTCTGTTTTCGCATAGTTTTCAAGGAGGGGATGTTCAGAAACTGTTCCATGAAATCATATTCACAATAAACACCCCTTTTAAAAGCTATGTGTCTTAGAAAATTGTGCTGCACACTGTCTATTTTCCTACTATATGTTATATAGTGTGGTGGGGATATTAATATGGGATAAAAAAGATAAATCGAGTTTAAAAAGTCAAAACAGATCAAGATCCGCCCCTGGGGTGGTATTCCGTTCTATGTAGAGTTAACTTGATCTCGGTACGATTCATAATTCGTTCGAATTCTGAAACATTCGTACTGCTGACTTTTAAACATAAAAAAAATTAAATCTAGGAGAAACTTGAGGAAAATTAAATGTATTTGTTTAGCCTTGGCGTGATGATAGCCTTTCAAAACACTTTAAATTCACATGTATATCAATAATTTTGACAATTAAACCGTATGCCTTTTTTAGGGATTTTTGATTCATCCTGTTTACTAAAACTAGATAAGAGTCCTTTGGGGTCACATCACATACTTTGATTTTCTTTTACTATACGGAGAATGGTCGCACTGCGCAGCTTTCCGAGTGCCTTTTAAAAGGAGATAGAAAACTCCGCCATTTTGAACCCTTATTACGTGTTGCCTACATCTTGGCGCAATGTTTTTAATAGGTGCGTTTTAATCATCCGCTTCTGCTTCGGAATTGTCAGTTTTCTTGTTTTAATGTGACAGGTTAAAACACATACTTTGATTACTATACGAGGCAAGAGAGAGGTCCGACACGCCCAACATAGGGCGCGGCCATTTTGAACCCTGTGACACAGTTTACAGCTAAAGAATCAGATCGCTCACTCTGCGTCGGCACTTTGGATCTCAATGTTTCAGTTTATACACTGTGCAACTCGGATAATGCAATATATGACAACCGCCTATAATAAAACAGCAGTCTTCTGCGTATCCTGAATTTGTATCCCTGGAGTGGATGTTATTTTGGAACTTTCAACTGATCCGAGTGAGCTAACTGATTCTTTAGCAATAAACTGTGACTTCAAAAATAATATTCACTGACACTGACAGCAGCAAGCAAAATATCAGGTGCGTTTTAATCATCCGCTTCTGATTCCGGAATTGTCGGTTTAGTCGTTTTAACCAGTCAGATTAAAACAAGAAAACCGACAATTCCGAAGCAGAAGCGGATGATTAAAACGCACCTATTAAAAATATTGCGCCAAGATGTAGGCAACACGTAACAAGGGTTCAAAATGGCAGAGTTTTCTATCTCCTTTTAAAAGGCACTCAGAAAGCTGCGC